TTTAGAATTTGTTCTGTAAACTTTCACCCAGATTTCACACATACACACACACACACACACACACACAGTCCACTCTAAAATGTTAAAAAGCAAAGATGCCACTTTGAGGATTAAGGTTGTGCCTGACCAAGCCATGGTATTTTCAGTTGTCTCTTATGCATACAAAAGCTGGACCATAAATAATGAAGATCAAAGCAGAATTAAAGCTTTTGAATTATGGTGTTGGTGAAGAGTATTAAATACACTAGTGTCTAAGGCTAACCAGAAAGCTGGTAGTTCAAACTCACCAGCCACTCCTCAGAAGGAAGACTAGGCAATCTACTTCCGTACGGATACAGCCTGAGAAACCCAAGGAGGGGTTGCTATGAGTCAGATTTGAGTCAAGGGCAGTGAGTTTGATTTTTGGTTTTATGAACTGCCAGAAGAACAAACTTATATGTCTTAGAAGAAGTATAGTCAGAAAGCCTTTAGATGTGAGGATGGTAAGACTTCTTTTCTTGTGTACTTAGAACACGGTATCAGGAGGGAGCAAGCCCTGGAGAAGGACATTATGCTCAGCAAAGTAGAGGGTCAGCAAAAAAGAGGAAGACCCTGAATGAGACAGTATGACACAGTGGCTGCAATAATGGGCTCACACTAGCAAGGATTTTGAGGATAGCACAGGACTTGTCAGTGTTCCATTCTGTTGTATACATAGGGTTGCTATGAGTCGGAATTGACTCAACAGCACCTAACAACAACATATGCATACACATACATATAAATATTATATGCACACATACATATATACACAGATACCACATTTTATGTAAATAATATGCATGTTATGTGGTTTTTACACACTGTGCAATCCCCTTGCACTCCTGTGTGCATTATATGTGAAAAAACGGTGTGTGTATATATACTACTTGCTGTGGAGTCAATTCACATACACACAGACACACACACACATTTACAATGGAATGCTATTCACCCTAAAAAGGACTAAAAATCTGATACATGCTACAGCATGGATGAATGGTGAAAATATTATAATAAGTAAAAAAAGCCAGACACAAAAGTAGAAATATTATACAATTCTACTATATGAAATATCTAGAACAGGGAAATTCTTAGAGACAGAAAGTAGACTACAGATTATCAGAAGCTGGGAAGAGGGGAGAATAGGAACTGTTGCTTCATGGGTATACAGTTTCTTGTTTGGGGTGATGAAAATGTCATGGAAATAGTGATGATAGTTGTACACTATTGCAGATGTAATTAATATTCTTTAATTATACCCTTAAAAATGGCTATGTTGTGTTATACATATTTTACCACAATAAAACAAACAAAACAAAAAACACCAACTAGCAGAATGCCTGGTAAGTAACAGGTACTCAAGGAAAATTAGGTTCAACAACACAACAAAAAAAGGAGTCCATAAGGCAAAGAGACAAAGTTGCATTAAACATCAATCCCTATAGTTTGCCAAAGCTAATCACAATTTAAAGGATGGTATGTCTTGTGGAGCAATATAAGTGAGAAGAGAGAATTTAAAATTTTTAAGCTCATGGTCCCATTGAGTATCCCTTCCAATCAAGAGGAACAGGATATCTCACATATACATCTTCTCTGCTTCCTTAGACATTTAGATGGTTTTGAGACTGATGATCTAAATGTTCAGTTGACCCATTTGTAACGGGTCAAGTATTGCTATGGTTCATGTCTTATTGATTAGATCACAATTTGATTCTCTACAGAAATAACACTAATTTCTGGGAATCTTTAAATTGGAGCTTTCTTAACAATGCCTCAGCCTTTCATCACTTTCCGATCTGACATGCTTAAGGCTTGACAGATCATTCCAGACAGGCAAAGAAATATTTAAAGACCACAGAAGAAAATACTGCCATTCTCAGCTAAGGTAGTTAGAATAAGGGTAAAATTAAAAAAAAAAAAAAAAATCTCTTGACTTCCTCTTTCTTCTACTACCACAGAATAACAAAAATAGCAAATTTGCTTCTACTTTCTTTTAAAAAGTAAAGAGGAAAGGAAACTTAAAACTACTAAAATAAGATGAAAAAGCATCAAAAGAATTTAATAAGGTAAGAATGATGGTGTTTGTTTAACAAGAAAAGTTTCAAAAAAAATTTACATTTAGATAATTTGAAGTTTACGTTGTTCAAAGTAATTGCAAATAATGTTCAAATACAGCTTTCTCTTCAAGCCAATTATTATACTCTAATTAAATTACTTCATTACTAAACCAGAAAAATATGAAAACATTATAACAAGCCTTCTGCAATATTAATCCTATAGAAATAGATAGGATTTAACTCCAGTGATGGGGGAATATTCTACATATGTTCATATTGGTATGTTGAATGGGAGCTCTGGTAGCATAGTGCCTAAGGCACTTGACTGCTAACCAGAAGGCTGGCGGGTCAAACCCACCAGCCACTCCTCAGAAGGAAGGTTGGGCAATCTACTTCCATAGTGATATCGCCTCGGCAACCCAAGGAGGGGTCGCTATGAGTTGGGTCTGACTCGACGGCACATAACAACAACAACAAATGTTGAATGGGCATTTTAAACAGACTGTGCCAAGAATTAAACAACTTATTAAGAAACTAATAATTTAAAATATGTATAAAAAGATAACGAAAAGTCACATTTGTTTACCAAAAACTAAAATACTTACAATATCTTCTATTATCTCTTTGACAGCTGCCACAGCTAAAATAAATAAGAGAGGAACCAGTGTTGTATAACGACCTGTTGGGGATACATCAGGTATTTGCTATTTAAAGGAAGACAAAAGAAAAAAGGAGAGATCCAGTGAGAATTACAAAGTTTATCAATAGCTTTAAATAACAGAGTCCTCATTTCTCCTGAAATGTGCCTCACTGACTTTACTATCTTGACCAAATGACATCGAGTGAGGCAACTGGCGCATAGCTAATAAATAGCTAGAAGTGAAAGTTAATTAACCAAAAGTAAGCAGTGTGTGTAGGACTTACATCTTTAATGGTGATTAGTTAAATAAATTATAGTATGTGCATATACTAAAATACCATAGTCATTAAAAATGGTATTTTAGAAAAACAATGAGTAACATGGGAAAACATCCAAACATTACTACATGAATAAAGTAGACTACAAAACAATACATACTACATGCTCCTTATTTTTGTAATCTAAATCAATAAACTGGGCTTAACTGAATAATTTTCATAAAAAAAAAAGACCAGAAAGTATATACCCAAATTTTAATAGTAGTTGTGTCTGGGTGGTGGAATAAAAAGAGTTTTTTTTTTTATTTTTGCCTTTATGCTTTGTTTTACATTTTAATTCTTTTACAATGAACATAAAGTCACCAGCCTTTCTTCTACAATGCTGGTGGGTGTTCAAATTGCCAACCCTTTAGTTAGTAGTTGAGACCAAACCATTTGTGCTACCCAGGGACCTACCTTTTCAATAAAATGCAGCATTTTTCCTGATTACAACTAATTCAAATACAAAAAAAAAAAAAACCCACAAGATTTAAACTAATAATTCTAATATTCCAAGATTTAGAACTGACACCACTTCTAAAATACAAGTATTTTAAGAAAGCATTTCATCCCCATTCACCACTGAAAACCGAACAGTCCTTGCTATGTTCAATTCACAGAATACATAAAATAAGCCAACAAAATGAAACACATAGAGGCAGTGGAATTCTGACACTGCCTGGAGCAGGAGTTGGCTGTGTCCATCAAAACCAGGTTCTCTCTCCGCATTAGACAATCTTCAGAGGACCAGTCAAGGTCTTCACTGAAATATGTATTATAGCTGAACATTTCTCTTTGAACTAAAGTTTTTACAACACGACTTTACCTGAAGCAGTGCAATAAAGAGGAAAAATGAATTAGCAGCTCTTCTGAACTGAGAATAGAGAAACCGTGGCAGGAATGTGATGACATTGTATTTTGCAGTGCTGGAAAAGAAAAATGAAAAGCAGTGTAAAACTTAACAACATCACCATCAGTACACCCACATTTACAAAGTTCTCATTATATGAAAAATCAGATGATGGACATTTTTGTCCACTGTTTCAAATTGGGAGAAATAGTCCAAAGGGTCATTAACCTACATGAAAAATAGTAAAAGAATGGGCTAAGTAATAAAGACTGAATACACCACAGGTTTTATTTTCTGTATAAAATCTTTTGTCCTCTTTGGAAAAATCTGCTCAACATTACAAAGAACAAGAAATTTGGTTAAGATAGTATATAAAATGTTAACAGATAATTAACTTTTGCCAAAAACCCCAGCAGTTTGAGCAGGGCCAGAAAACTAAAAATAGAGGTATCTTCTCTGGAAAACTAAAGAAATGGGGCATTTTCTGGGCTTCAGCCTGCATTTTCTTCATGGACTCTTAAGAACTTGACTAGAACTCTACACCAAACCCACGAGGTATGTCCATAACCAGTGAGATATCATCACTTAGGTCCTGGAAACATCCAGGTCTTCCTTTTGTTTCTCAAATAGAAAGGAGATTAAAGGAGACACATGGGGCACTCCTCAAACTGAGAAACAGTACTACAGAATGTGAAGTTACAAATATTAAGTCAGCATTTCTCAAATCTGAGGATTCTGCCAGTTGAGATAAACTGTGCTAGCACTGGGGTGTTCATTTGGTCCGACAGGTCACATGGCAGTCCTTGGTAACTAGTGCTTACACAGATCTGTTTAATACTATTGTTGGAGTGAAAAACATACAGTGAAGTAATTCTTATAGACCTCCAACCTTCAACACCATAGGAAATTTCACAACTATCAAAAACCACTATTTACGGATTATTTAACCACAAGGAGTTCTCCTTGGAATTGTAAAGATCTCTCCTAAAATGTTAAATCCTGTTAAACTGAAAATAGTAATACATCATTCTAGTAACAGGATTAAGACAAAGTCATTTACACCATGAGTAGCTTTCATGGTTCAGACACTACATACAGAATTGCTAGAGTGTGGTTATTTATTCTTTCAAGTCTTTCCTGTTTCCAGATAATTATTACCATCTCTTTTACTGAATAGAAGGTAGGGAAAGAAACAGACTATTCACACTGGCACCAGTGAGCTCTCAGTAGTAACTAGTTTAACTGAAAGCTCTGTGCAAGCATGTTCACTTCATCTGCACAGGGGAGATGTCCTACTGGATTCTGTTGTGGTGCCTGGTCCCATAGCATCTTTGGTAGTTCCTACCTGACATGGTTATTGCAGAATTTGGTCAGCTGGGGCTGGTTGATGAATATTGTCCTCACTTCCTCCTGGTCAGCTAGTGAAGTCTTCTCTGAAACATCATCAGTCTTCTCATAACCTTCAAAAGGGATTAGTCTCACTTGGTAAGAAACATCTCCTTTTATTATCCACACTGAAAATACATTTCATTATGTTTCGCAGCTTCCCTGGCAGAGGTGGAGGTGAGAGCACTGGGTGGGACTAGCAGGCTGGCACACTGGCACGGCAGTGCCCTCCTCTGCAGTCATCATATTTGCAGCATGTTTAAGCCACAGGAGGTAGCAAAGGCGCTTGCATGCTTTGATGAAGAAAGTGGCCATGCTGAAAAAGCCCAGACGGCATGGAGCTAAGGGCAACAGCTAGCCAACAGCCAGCTAAATACTGAGACACTCAGTATAACTGCCCATGAGGAACTGAATCCTACCACCATCTACATGAGCTTAGAAAAGGATCCTTCCTCCCCTGGCATCAAATGAGACCTCAGCTTCAACCAACACCTTCACTGCAGCCTGTAAGAGACCCTGAAGTAGAGAATCCACATAAGCTATGAACTAATCCCAACCACAGACACTGCAATAATAAATGTAAAGTTGTTTTTTAAAATAAGCTTCATAATCACATATTCTAGGATCCGAAATCTGTTGAAAGTTACATGCTTCCCTTTATTAGTGCAGTAGTTTCTTTTAATTGAAGAGGAATGGCGTGGCATTCATCATCACAAAGACTGTTTCAAGATCTGTCCTGAAGTACAATGCTGTCAGTGATAGGATAATATCCATATGCCTCCAAGAAGACCAGTTAATACTACTATTATTCAAATCTATATACTAACGACCAAAGCCAAAAATGATGAAACTGAAGATTTCTACCAACTTCTGCTGTCTGAAATTTACCGAACATGCAATCAAGATGTATTGATTATTCCTGGTGACTGGAATGAGAAAGTTGGAAAGAATCACCAGTAGTTGGAAAATATGGCCATGATGATAGAACTAACGCTGGAGATCACATGATAGAATTGTTTTTGCAAGACCAGTGACTTATTCATTGGAAATACTTTTTTTCAACAACATAAATTATGGCTCTACAGATGGACTTAACCAGATGGAATACATAGGAATCAGACTGACTACATCTGTGGCAAGAGGCAATGGAGAAACTCAATTATCTTCACTCATAACAAGGCCAGGAGCTGACTGTGGAACAGATCATCAACTGCTCATATGAAAGTTCAAGTTGAAGTTGAAAACAATTAAAAGGAGTCCATGAGTACCAAAATATGACCTTGATAATATCCCTTCTGGATTTAGAGATCATCTAAAGAAGATCTGATGCACTGAGCACCAATGATCGAAAACCAGAGGAATTGTGGGATGATATCAAGAACATCACCCATGAAGAAAGTAAGCGGTCACTAAAAAGACAAGAAAGGAAGAAAACACCAAAATGGATGTCAGAAGAGACACTGAAACTTGCCCTTGAAGGGAGAGTAGCTAAAGCAAATGGAAGAAATGACAAGATAGAAGAACTGAAGATTTCACAGAGCAGCTCGAGAAGACAAAGCCAATTGTCATAGTGCAATGTGCAAAAACCTGGCATTAGAAAACCAAACAGGAAGAACATACTTGGCATTTCTCAAGCTGAAAGAACTGAGGAAAAAATTCAAAATATTGAATGATACAGAAAATATCAAAAGAAGATGGAAGGAATACTCAGAATCACTGTATCAAAAAGAATTGGTCAATGTTCATCCATTTTGTTGTTGTTGTTATGTGCCGTCGAGTCAGCCCCGACTCATAGCGACCCCTCCTTGGGTTTCCGAGGCAGTATCACTACGGAAGTATGATTGCCCAACCTTCCTTCCGAGGAGTGGCTGGTGGGTTTGAACCGCCAGCATTCTGGTTAGCAGTCAAGTGCTTTAGCCACTATGCTACCAGAGCTCCATTTTAGGAGGGGGCATATGATCAAAAACTGCTGGTATTGAGAGAAGAAGTCAAAGCTGCACTGAAAGAACTGATGAAGAACAAGGCTCCAGGAATTGATGGCATACCGACTGAGACATTTCAACAAATGGATGCCACATCAGAGGCACTCACTTGGTTATGCCAAGAGATTTGGAAGACAGCTACCTGGCCAACTGACTAGAAGAGATCCACATCTGTACCCATTTCAAAGAAAGGTGATCCCACAGAATGTGGAATTATCAAACAGTATCATTAATATCACATGCGAGTAAAATCTTACTGAAGATAATTCAAAAATGGTTGCAGCAGTATATTGACAGAGAGCTTCCAGAAATGTAAGCTGGATTCCTAAGAGGACATGAAATGAGGGATATCATAGCTGATGTTAAATGAATCTTGGTTCAAAGCAAAGAATAACAAAAAGATGCTTATTTATGTTTTATTGACTATGCAAAAGCATATGATTGTATGGATCATAAAATATTATGGATAACATTGAGAAGAATGGGAATTCCAAAAACACTTGATTGTATTCATGAGGAACTTGTACACAGATCAAGAGGCTGTCATTCGAACAGAACAGGGGACACTGCACGGTTTAAAATCAAGAAGGGAATGTGTCAGGGTTGTATCCTTTCACGATACATATTCAATCAGTATGCTGAGCAAATAATCCCAGAAGCTAGACTATATGAAGAAGAACATGGCATCAGGGCTGGAGGAAGAATCATTAACAACCTGCAATATGCAGATGACACAACTTTGCTTGCTGAAAGTGAGGATGACTTGAAGCACTTACTGATGAAGATTAAAGACTACAGTCTGCAGTATGCATTACACCTTAATATTAAGAAAACAAAATCCTCACAACTGGTCCAATAAACAGTTTCACGATGGATGGAGAAAAGATTAAAATTGTCAAGGACTTCATATTACTTGGTTCTACAATCAACACCAATGGAAGCAAGTCAAGACATCAGATGATGTAATGCATTGGGCAAATTTGCTGCAAAAGACCTCTTCCAAGTGATGAAGAGCAAAGATATCTTCTTGGAGACTAAGACTTGGCCTAACCCAAGCCATGACATTTTCAATTGCCTCTTATGCACGTGAGAGCTGGACAATGAACAAGAAGACCAAAGAAGAGTTGATGCTTTTGAGTTGTGGTGTTGGAAAAGAATGCTAAGAATACCATGGTCTGCTAAAAGGACTAACAAATCTGTCCTGGAAGAAGTGCAGCTGGAATGCTCCTTGGAAGCGAGAATGGCTAGACTTCACGTCACCTACTTTGGTCGTGTTATAAGAAGGAACCATCCCCTGAAGAAGGATATCATACTTGGTAAAGTGGACGGTCAACAAAAAGGGGGCAGGCCCTCAACGAGATGGACTGACACAGTGGCTCCAAAGATAGGCTCAGGTATAGCAGGGATCATGAGGCTGGCACAGGACCAGCGTTTCACTCTGCTGTGCATAGGGTCACTATGAGTCGGAGATGACTCGTTGGCACCTAACAACAACAACAACAGTTTCTTTTATAATAAAAAAGGAAAATTTTCACATCTAACATTTCTGCTAGATTTAAAAGAGAGCATTTAGTCAACTGTCCGGCAAAATGTAATCCACTTTCAAAAACGGTAATGATATGTTCAACTTATATCCTCCCGTTACATAAATTAGTGTCCAAAATTAACAAAGCATTTTAAACTAGTTTATGTTATAGTTATAGACGAGACTAAATGACATAGAGGTAACTTAAAATATGTGCAAGAACTTTAACATCCATATTTAATGCTTTTCTTGTTTTGTGGGGTTTTTTTCCCCATTTTAGATGAAGATGGAAAAACATTAAATATGAAGATTTAAGTAGATAACTGCCACAATTATCTCATTCACTGTGATCATCTAATCTTTCCTCTAATTAGAACTTATATTCACCTACAAACTTTAAATATCTAACATCATTGTAAGTCATCTCATCATCATCTTAGCAACACTTTGCTGCAATGTTGATAACATTTCTTGAAAATACAAACAAGTTTTGGGAGAACAGAAAATAAACAGGAAATCTTTTTAAATGTTTATTTTACCTTCTAGTGAGAATTAAATGAAATTGGACTTACTCAGTCCCTTACTACCAATAGCCTTGTGTCTCAAATACCCATTTTTCTTCTCCTTTCTATCTAACCAAACACATAACCAAACCTTTGAGTCAATTCTGACTCAAAGCTTCCTTATAGGGCATAGTAGAACTGCCCCAAAAGGGTTTCCAAGGCTGTAAATTTTTATGGAAGCAGCCTGCCACATTTTTCTCCCGAGGAGCAGCTTGTGGGTACAAACAGCCAACCTCTCTGTTAGCAGCAAAGTACTTAACCACTGCGCCATCAGGGCTCCCTCTTTTCTGCCTAGCCTATGTCAACTTCTCATAAGACCAGGACAACAGGGAGTCTCTTTCTGAAGTCTTCCAGGATGCCAAAGTCAGTGAACCTTCTCTGTACCTACCCCTGTCCCCAGTAAAGCACTTACCTGGAGGTCTGGCTACTGTTTGTTGATGAGGCTGCCTCCCCCTCCCAGAAAAGGAACTCCCTGAGGCAATAGGTGGCATATTACTCATCTTCCTCACAGAAGCAGCAACAACAGCAGGCAAACTCAGCATTAGCTGGATAAATAATACCAAGTGGCAAGGGAGTGGTTATTTGTTTTTTTGTTTTCTTTTTTATTGAGGTCAGGCAAAAAGCTCTCCACCCACTGATAAGGACACTCAGAACAGCCAAGTGCTGGTAACAAACTCGAGATGAAAAGTATATCTATCATGTTTTCTTAGGATATGAAACCAGAAAATTCTTTAGGCTTTCTACAAAGATGAAGGCCAGAAGCAAAGGCACTGGGGGGGGGGAGGTGAAGAATATCACAATGTTTTCAGAGGAGTATAAACAGGGAAGCTTTGCTGTTGGGCAAGACATGACGATAAAAACGTACCTAGGGGCCAGGTCATGGAGGACCTCTCACACTGTGAAAGTCTAGATCTCATCCTGCAGTAAGACCATCCTGCAGGTATTAGAGAAGACCTTCCAAGGGAGGTGCAGGGTGAGAGTCATATTTTATACTTATCACTGTGGAAGTCAAGTGGCTCCAGGTTGTTGTTGTTGTTGTTGTTAAGTGCCGTCGAGTCGTTTCCGACTCATAGCGACCCCATGC